CTGGGGCTGGGGCTGGGGCTGGGGGTGGGGGTGGGGGTGGGGGTGGGGGTGGTAGGTGGTGGTATGGCAGTGGGGGGGGCAGTGGCGGTGGCAGTGGCAGTGGTAGAGGTAGTGGTAGTTTAGTAGGACGGTTTAGGGGTACCTGGCCCTAAGACCTCGAAACCAAATCCCGATCAGTCCAAGATTCCTTCCAATACCGCCACGCCGTTAGTTAGCTATGCTTGGGAAAATACAGGTCGCAACTAGCTGCCATCTGCGTTTCCAGCAGTTACGCCGACGCCGCTTTTTGGAAAGCTTCCGCGCACAACTTTTGTACTCTATCGGGGAGACCACCAGGAGACCACCAAGACACCACCAAGAATTGAGGAGACCACCACGGGACCACCAAGAGACCATCACGACACCAGGAGACCAACAGGACACCATCCAGAGATTCCAAGCAGATCGTCGGAAAACCACAGGCGACGAGCACTGCTCGACCAGGACGAGGACACCAGGAGACACCAAACGACCGCGAAGAAATCACCAGGATGGTGCTTGAAATGCTAGGAGCACCAGTTCAGATCACTGCCTGCACTAAGGCTGCATAGAGAAATCCCAAAGCTCGTGTGGAAGCTTGCAGCGTAGGTGAGGCCTAGTAGCGGTTTTGACTTTAGATTCATAGGGACCCAGAAGTTCCAGAAGTTTCCAGGTGAGAAGCAAAGCGCGTTTCAATCAGCCAAGCCGTGGTTCTTGCCTGCGCAGGTGTTGGACGGCGCGTCGAGCTTTTACAAGCGGACTCCCGGGGCCTGTAAAGGCCTAAGACGCCGACGCTTCGCCGGCCACTGCCACTTCCATCGCAAGTAGTGTATTCAGGCATCGTGCCCTCCGGCCTGCAGCCCAACGCTCAGCATGGCGTCGCACGAGACATGCCAAAACATCGACTCAAGATGACCGAACACGATATGGGCTCACCAGGGAGATGTTTCCGAAGCCAGAATCGTCCACTAGGTCAGCGGCGTGTTCCTTTCGCCTCCCTGGGCGGACCAGGCGTGCTGCCACTAAATTCCTTCTGCAGGCAGCGGGAAGTGTCTCTTAATCTGTGCAGGGCTTGCTGCCACGAGGGCAGGCCGGCCCCGCCGGGCAGGGTTCCCCGGGCTTCTCGCTGCGAAGCTTGGGCGATGTCAGGAGCTCGGACTGGACCTGTCGCCTCTTAAGCTTGCAAATGGACCCACCGTGTTCAAGGCTGTGCAAGGCTCAGCAAGGCCCGACACCAGCGTAGCAAACTACAAAACCACCGCGCAGTCATCCTTGCGCATAGCACACGATGCGCTTGCCAGATACTGCTAAGCTTATGGACTCACTTGGTTCCGATCGCTGCCCAGACCTCACCTCGCTTAGGGCCTCGACGCTGCCGAGCTGCTGGTGGACGCGCTGCAGCTGGGGCCGGGGAGCCCGATTCAGGGACTTGAGCAGCGATGAGCGAACCCTATATGAGATCACATAGCTCGTTTCAACGACCATGAGGCGTGGCGCGGCTCTCTTCCTGCCACGTGCTATGCCCTCAACATCCGCAACACTCGCACAGGATACGCCCATACACCGTTTGAATAGCACAGTTCCGATCCACCGGGGGCTTCCATGGCATACTAATACTAAGCAGGACCTGCTTAACCTCGGCATTATATCTCACGCACCTTGAGGAATCTTGAGGACTGCAAGCGCCTCCTTGAAGCCGAGGTGACATCAAGCGCCGAGGTGACCCGCGAAAGCCTGCACTACTCCAACCGATTGTTTCAGAGACAGGGGGGCCCATCAGTTTTTTGGTTGCTTTTGCGCATACTGTGAAGCCTTCTGGGTGGAATTTCTGTTCGCCAAGTCAATTTGTTTTGCGCCAGACGTGAACTGCTTGCACATGCTCGAAGACTTCTGACATACGGGGTGGGTGCACAGAGGGCCAGCGACAGAGACAAGAAACGGCAAAAGCTCAAAGGCCGCTCAAAGGCCGCCCAGTGCCCATACCATGCCCAGGGACAGCAACACCCAGCAGCTCGCCCAGAAGGGCCCCACCCTTACCTTAGCCTAACCCACCTCTTACACACGTCCTCATCGGCCTTCTAAGCATGGCCATGGACGCAACAGCCATGATGAATGTCCCAGACATCTCCCGGCAGCGATTCACGGGCAAGGCAGGAGATTCCATTTGGTGGTTCCCTCTTGCGGAGCTTGAGTGTGCAGGTCACTCGGTTTCATGCAGAGAGAGGCTGGGGAGTCTCGTCAGAAAGGGAGCCTGAACTAAGCATCAGAGTTGATACAGGCAGGGAACAAAAGCATGTGTTTATTGCCCTGCAAAAAAGACACGTTGTGAGTCCAGCGACATCCTGAGGCTTCATAGATCTCAACGGCACCGACATTATGGTTCATGTCAACGACTGCAAGCCAGAAGATGTCGATACTCGTGGAGTAAATATTTTCTCGCCATCACGCCCTGCTTGCAAAGACTGACACTGCACGGATGGTAGCTGCCGAGGAGCTTTTCACAGGTGGCCAGCCAAGACCTGGAGACATCGTTTCTTTCGAGGTCGAGCCACGCAAGGACACAAGCAACAGGAAGGCAGACTGTGTTTTTCGTTGAATAGGTGTGCTGTTGAGTGGTGCTGCCGGCAAGGACAACCCTGGCCACATGCAGGCCAAACGAGCATCTCGGGCTGATGTGGTGAGGTGGGATACGGCAGTAGCTTGTTCACATTCCGGCTCAAGGTCATGGGTGGGACGGACGAGCGCTGCTGCAACACAAAAGGCAAGGGCCAAGCTGCCCCAGCGCAAGGCGAGGCATGATGATCTGACCCGACGAAGAAAGCACTTTCGTTATCGTCACATCGGCACAAGCCGTCGCAGGCACCGGAAGGCACTTTGGTGTCATCAAGGCTTTCAACACGAAAGGCGCCCAATCCCGGCTGGCTTTCTGCCGCTCACGCCTTGGGGCATGGCGGACTTGACTTGAGCTTCCGTTTCGGGTGCAGGGTTTGCACGGGTCTTGGTGTCGCGCATCATGTCAAGCTCACAGCACTTTCGACCGATGCCGCACGATTGACCTTGGCATGCGTCGCAAGTTTGCTCACCGGGGGCAAGGGCCTGCTGGCAGCCGGTTTGACGGTTTGTTGCCTTCTGATCCTTCTGCAGACTTCGCCGGCTGAGCCAAGCAGTTGCAGTTGCAGTTTGCATGCAGACAAAAAGCTGGCATCGGAGGCCTTGGCTGGGTGCAATGCATGGATGGATCAACTGCCTGGATAGAGCTGGCCGACTGCATCGGCTCACGGCCGGTCACAGGCACGGCTCAGCCTGTGGCACCTGTCGTCCGTTGCATGTGGATTCAGGTGACCGGGTCCAGTTTGACCTGCAGCCCTGCGAAGTGAAGCCAGGGAAGATGCAGGCGGCCGAATGATGATTGCGACAAGCCTTTCTTCTTTCTTGAACCGTCAGTGTTTTTGCGCGAGAAAAGCGGGCAGAACGAGATGCACACTTCTGAAAACGAAGAAATAAAACAACAGCAGGCAGTCAACGTTACTGGTGGCACGGCCCCAATGGATCTTAAGGATGCAGTTTTGGGCGACTTGGCCATTAACTGAATTCAGGACGAGTGTAATTACGGTCTCTGGGTTGGGTCCTGTCAAAGTTTAGTGCTGCCGGCAGTGTCTCAGTTCCTGCATCAGAGTCCTTTCGCTGCCTGGTCGGCGTTAAGGCAAAGACATGGCCAAGGCCAAAGCAGCTGCGCATCTGTGCTGCATTGCTGAGGTATTACAACAGTTGTCCTTTGCCCATGCATGTGGAAATCATCTTTGCCGTGTCGGATTCAGGCCAGCCCCTGTACTCCAGCTGAAGCGAAATGCGAACGGCCACCTAGTCGGTTGTGTTCTCCGGCAAGAAACAGCATGTGTAGGCTGATTCCAGTTGTTTGTGCAGCAAAGTTACCTTGATAGATTCGTGAACGCAATGAGAATGATCTGCTCGATAGCTGAGGTGTGCGCAGCATGTCGACAAAGTGGTATGTCAGACATCCCCGTCATGACGACGACGGCTGCGCAAAACTCTGTGATCGAACCTCCTGCGAGCAATGCAGCACTGCCTGGGCCGAATGCGGGCATCGCCCTTCCCAGCATGATGCATGAAGCACCGATGGCAGGGATGATCAAGCAGCGCATGTCCGGAAGTAACAGATCTAGCCCCTATAGCGGGGGCATGGGGAGCATGGGCAGGCTGTACTAGCCATTGCCACCCTTGAGATTGCCTCTCCACAGCGCAGTGGAAACAGCAGCCGGTAATCAGCATCATGTTGCAGATGCACTTGCTGAACAAAGCAAGTGCTCATTTGCTACCGTCGCACATGCTGGCAGCTTCAAAAGAGCAGGGTTTAGGCGAATTGTGCAGCTGCAAGCTAGGGCAGTAGGCAGCAGATGCAGCAAATCGTCCCAGAGTGGGAAGCCTGGTGCCGGCAGTCCTTCACCGTTTAGCTTTTGTTTCCACGTTTACCTCCTAGAATTGTCCAAACCTAAGCTTCGTCCTGTCGTCATAGTATCCATGACAACAATGACAACTGAATCAAAAGACACTCTTGAGCCACCCGCCATGAAAGATCTCAAAGGTCTGCAGCCCTGGCCCTGGGGCTTCGGATGCTGAAGACCCTGAGTCTTCTTTCACTCTGCTCTCGGGTGACGGCTGGCAGACTCTCCACTGCGGACTCCTGCCGACAACAGCTCCTGGCCGACGGTAACTGCTGTCTGGATCAGCGTGTGAATCGTGATGTGTTACAGAGGCGGCTTTCCAGGCCGGGTACCACTTGGCAATGTGCGTCGAAGGATGGCTGCGTGTCAGGTGACGGCCAAAGAGGTGGAGACTTCGTGGCACTGCCTCCAGATGCGACCTGTGAGACGTGCCGAATCTTGTTCCTTCACGGTGGCAGCTGGTACTATGGCTCCCCTGAAACCGACGGATACAAAGCGCTGGCAACGAAGCTTGCGCACCGAACGCGTTGCGTGATCATGCTGCCGGATTTTCCTTTGCTGCCTGTTGGCAAGTTTCATTCCATGCTGGCAGCTTCTATTGCAGCGTTGCAATACCTGAGCACTTACCAAGTTTGGGCGAGTTGCCGTCCATCAACTCCTGTAGATATGTTCGTCGGAGGTGATTCAAGTGGCGGTTCCACGGCGCTGAGCGTTGTTCTGAGATGGAAGCTCGATCCTGACATTCTTCCATCTCATGCCTCGCTGGCGGGGGGCTTCTTCTGGAGTCCCTGGACAAATCTCATGTGCAACACCCCAGAGTATATAACAAATGCCTACATGCATGCACCACCACCGACTGAAATATCTGATCACGTCGGCGACATCCTTTTCACACAGCGGCCCGTTGACAACATGGCCATGTTTCGCAAGAATGCTCTTGAGTATGTTGGTGGCCGCGTAGAAATGCTGAAGGATCCCATCGCCTCCCCCTTCTACGCAGATTCGGAGTGGCAAGCTGGCCCAGGCATGGCATCCCCAGCGCTTTACTTCGCAGTCGGGTCTTCCGAAACAATCTTAGGCGATACCACGATCCTTGCTGAGAAAGCTGCTGCTAAGGGAGTACAGGTCGTTGTCGACATTTTCCACGGCATGTGGCACGACTTTCCCATGTACTCGGATGGCTGTGGTTCTGAGCAGCCGCTGTGGTCAGGACAACGGGCCTGGAACAACACAGTCGAATTCCTGAAAGCGGCGAGTGCAACGGCGAGTGCAGCAAAGGGAGGCGGCTCAGGCGGCTGGCCACTCATACGCTACGTTTATGACGAGTCGGCCTCTGGTCGAGCTGGATGGTTCCCGACAGCGAGTCGGCCACTCCGAATCGGGCTCGGGCCTGCGTCTGCGGAGTCTGCGGAGGGCCACCCAAGGCTTCAGTCTCTCCTATTCATGCTTTGTGGTGGATTCCTGGGACATCTCATGTCCATGGGCCGGCGACTCAGGAGTTTTAAGGGACTTCCTGGCCTCATGTTATGCGAGCAGAGCTCTCGATGAGATCGTCTCAGGTTTCGGCCCACTGAAGATCGCTGCGCAGAAGCTGCTCGAGAAGAAACGCGAGTTTGCCAAGCCCGAGGAGATGGCGCCCCTGATCGAACCTAGTCGGATTCCTCGGCAGTACTCTTAGGCGTACCTGGGCGGCTGCTCTGACTCGACTCTGGCTTGCATGGAAAAAGCGAATCCCACTCATCGGATCAAACGAAGATGTAACTTTCACAAATCCTTCCTTAGTTGACTGTCTGCCTGCGGGTTTGCGGGCAACATGGAAGAGACGGGTGAACATTGGAGCTTACGCCCCTGTGGGGCTGGCTGTATGCTCAGTAGAGTATGAATTGTCTGCAGATGTGGGATTTGAAAGCCATTGCCAATATCGTCCACCCACCACCTGGCTTTTCCATGACCGTGCTTTGGACGCTGCCAAAGCGCGACAAAGAGCGTCGGAAGGTCAGGAATCGAGACAGGACAATGAACCCACGGCCGCCCCGCCCGGCCGCCCAGCACCCCAGCTCCAGCCCCCCTCCCGGTAAGATGGAAGAGTATGTGTAATGCGGCCTGGGGCCCGCGAAGTTTGTCAGTCCATCTATACACATACAACCACCGTTTCGTGAACATGATGCTGCTGCTCCGGAGTTTTGGTGGTCACGGCATTTCATAGCAAGTGGTCTGTTAAATTGGGGTTCCTGGGCTGGGTATAGACGGTATAGATGCTAAAGATCCCCGTCATGAAGAGGTAGTTGGTCACAAAGACCTCGTCTGGCGGAGTCCGGGTTGCGAGATTAGTAAAGGGGGTCTTTCACTTTCAGCATGTAAGATGTAGGACCCTGGCAGCTCCATCTTCGAATCCCCAAAGGGATATGGGGTTGGGGGCCCAGGGTCGAACGAACTCAGGGCTCTAAGCCCAAGTGTGGTAGAGGGATCTACACCAACTGTGAGACTGTGAGCCCCCCTGCCCGGGCAAAAACTACTGTACAACTCACATCGTAAATTTCTACAACGTTGTACTAGCAGCATCTTGCGCTGCGACCACATTCTGGCTATTCTCTGCCATTATCCTTCAGCGGCAAGTCACTGGAAACTGGTGGCAGAACGCATCAGCCCTACTGAAGCAGCGGCCTCGGTCAGGGTTGACTTTATCCTTGAATGGTATCAGTGGCTTTTAGATCCCGCTCCATGCATTCAGTGATGGTGACACCTGACAGCAGGAGTAGCAATTCCCACCTGCTTTTCTGTGCTGTGTTTTTTCTGGCAGACGCACGATGCACATCGATGGCAGGGAACCCTCAACTCCCCACCGCCCTCCATCGGCAATCCCCTCATTCCCCGCATTCCCCCCATTCGTTCGCCAATCCTGAGGCATCATGTCGTTCCGTGATGCAGATCTCCGCAGCGCTCCACGCAAGCGTGCCCAGGTCTCCCGCGGTTTGGGCACGCAAACCAGCAGACATTAAGATTGAGATGCAATCGGCGTTGAATTCCAGCAGGCATCGGACAGCCATTGCGTGCGGGCTTGTAGTGGTAGCATGAAGCAACAGCAACCCCTGCGAACCTCGTCAGTAAGACAACACTGGACCGTCCTAGCGGCAATGAGTTTGTCTCGTATGTTCACTGGCACAGAAGTTTTGGCATCGTGGCAGGGTGATGCCGCTGTAAATCCCGTAGAGAGGACGCTGAAGCGTCGGGGCCTTGGAGAGAGACCAAAAACCGGAGGCGCTTCTCGGTGCGGTTGTCTTCTGTCCGTGAGGTCGCTCGTCAGTGGCAAGTCCTGCTCGCAAGAGGGCTTGCCGACCTATCACCACAGCGCGCCCGGCTATCTCAGAGCTGAAAAGCATCGCACCCGCCTTATGAGACTGGATAATATTAGTAGGATAGTAGGTTACAGGACATCAAAATTTCGTCTAAGATGGCCTTCCGGTCAGGTCATCAACTTGGAGCGACGACCCGACCGCATGGAAGGTGCGGTTGCGATCAGATGGAAGGTTTAGGTCCTGCTGCCGTGCAGTCCTGTTAACCGGCCATGTTGACATTGCAAACGCCAGGATGCGAGCAACGCTTGCGCAAGCATTGCCCCAACCTGCCCCTCGAGCGCTTTGCAGCCACTGATGGGCGGCAGGCCTTGCTTTGCCAGTAGTATCCTTACCAGTTTTTTTTTTTCTGATGTTCATGGTGATCCCGGCATGTTGGCAACGGCTCGTGATTCGTTTACGTAAAGGAGCGCAGAGTTCGAGGGTGCAGAGACGATGCTTTCACTCGTGTTGCAGCCGCCCACTCCTGGCTTTCTAGGCTGCTTTTGCCTACACCTTCACATTACTTTAACTTACCTTTGCAGTAAACGACTTGTGTGCAGTAGCTAAAGCCGATTGAGCCGAAATCACTCCGAAACGCGGCATCTCATGCGGCAATGCGCCACTGCTGATCAAGGCCTCGATCCCTTTGGAGGAAGTCGCGACTTCTTGGAATACTGCCCCATGGCTGCAAATGCAAGCCCTGCAGCTTCAGGCAAGCCTTGCAAAAGGTGCTGTGATGATCCACACCGTTCGGGTTTGTGTGGAAGCTGGCCAGCTGCAAGTCGTTCTGTCGTACTGCGGCACTGGCTCTGCCTGCAAACGAGCCCTCTACGCTTGACGCTGCACTAGCAGCCGTGTGTTGTGCCACTGCATGCCATTGCCATGTCATTCCGCCGAGGCTAGAAATGTATCCTTCCAGAAGCAGCGTGCCTTGAGGACCGCGCGGGATCTGCTCGCAAGTCTTGGCTGCGCCTCCAGAACTCAGTGAATTTAAGTGGACATTGCATTCGACGCAGCCTGTAGCAGCATCTTAATGATCCTCATGATTGACACCTGCTAATGGTGCAAGCCAGCGCTACAGAATGCAGCATGCAGTAGTGGTCTGCGGGAGTACTATGAACAAATGGATACCATTCTGGCCTTGTGAGGAAGGGCTGGAACGATTTGGACACCTATCAGGCGCACTAAATCACTCCGTGTATGCGTCATGGATAATAACCACATGATGCCAATCAACGATTTTCGTGCGCCAAAACCGAATGGCTGAGCATTGTTGCCAGGTGTTTGTTTTCAAAGCTAGTGTCACTGTGCATTCTCGAGATATGCGGGGTATGCACCTCCAAGTTAAGGTTGTGCAAATGGTTGATAATGGTTGCTGTTCACTGAGCCGCCTGCTAGGATGTCTGTTTGTCCACGCGCAATGCGCTGTGTTCTGCGCTTTTTCTTAGGTGCGCACGTTGGAACTCAGCCCCGGGGAGCGGGGATGCGCCTCTTCACACGTGCGAGCCTGGCGGGCTTGTCTAGAGCTACTTGGATTTGCACAGCAAGACTTTGCTACAGCATGGGGACGCGATGTAGCCCTGCTCTGAGGCGTGCCCAAGGCACCGATCGACCACTTCTTGTGCTGGAGGACGATGCGGCACCCACTCCGGAGCTGCTTGGGCTGCCGTATATGCCGTAAGCTGCCGCAAGCTGCCAGATGCTGGAAGGTTGGGGGTTTTGATTTTTGTTGGCTGATTTTATGCTTTGTCCCCAAGGTTCTGTGAGCTCCTGGACAAGGCACTGGGTGCGCTCCCGGACTGCTGCTGCAGCGCTGTCTTTTTCCATGGAGGGGGGGAGTTCAGCCGGACCTCTGCTTTGTGCATGTCGGGAGTGCTGTGCTTCCCGTGAGGAAGATGCGCATCTTCTTTACCTCGGCTACTCTCAGGACTGGATCGCGACCGGGGTGTCGATGCCCGCAGTTTCCGAGTTTTGGTAAACTTGTATCTGCAGGGTCTGCACAGTGGTAGCTGGTCAGGCCGCAGACTGGCGCCGGGAGGTATCGGCGGAGCTGGTGGAGTCGCTCTACGTGTGGACGCATCTCGGATTGAGAAATTTGTAGTTCTCGTTGCATAAAAATGCCCTCCCAAACTCAGGACTGTTGCATACATTGCTCGGGCCTCGGCTGTTTGCCTTCCATGTGGCTGATGGCGCTTTGCATTGCTCGCAGGGATTGCAGCATTATTGGAGTCTCTCAGGTTTGGCCTGCAGGTGCCAGGATGCTTCTATCAAAGCTGCCCGTGAATGAGCCCGTCGACAACTGGATGGCGGTAGCACTGCTGCAAAAAGATTTCGCCGGAGTAGGGGGAGGCCGCCAGAACTTTCTACAGGTCTGCAGATTGAGGCATCATGAGTGCTGGAGCTTTCCTGTACTTTGCAAGTGACACTCTGTGAATGACCGTCTGCACCCAGGGCCTCTGCGCCAGCGATGACATCAAGGCGCACAGACTTCGGAGGTGTTGGTGCTGCGCGGGTCCGGGCGCCTTGCACGTTCCAGACGTTGAGGCATATTGCGTCCGCCCGAAGATCGTGCTACAAGCAGATGCTTGGAACGTGAACTCCGACGTGGCCCATTCGGACGAGCAGCTATGAAGCACAGTTGGACACTAGTGTTCCACAGAGATTTCCGAGCCGAGCCTGATGTTTACGTGCTGCCAGGCATTACTGGGGACCAAACTCTGACATTCAGCACTCGGATGTGTCCCTTGTCGGGGTACAAGCCGTGCCTGGGGTCCTTGGGTCCGGTTGGGCTTTGCAACTTCCAGCAGATCTCGGATCCTTACGGGATCCAGTTTCAGCTCCAGCCATAGCTTCGGCTTGTTGTGTACAAGAGCTCAGAACTTTGGCCTCAAGGTTTGTGTGCGCTTGCCATTCGTGCCATGGTGCTGAGTTGAGACCTCCCGTTCTCAGGCTTTACTGGGGCCCGGGACACCCCGAAGCTGGAGGAGATCCGGCAGGTGCAGGGTACCACGTGCAGTGACGGGCTCGTGAGCTGCCACGGCCAGGTGGCCTGCTCTGGGATCTCGACTCGGAGGATTCCGAGGACGAGCTGCTGCTTGACTGATGGCTTTACTCATGGCCGGTGTCTGCTTCGGACATGTTCCCACTTCCCTCCCGAGGTGAGGCCAGCGTGGAAAAGACCGGCCTGTAAATGTCATATGTGCAGCGCTCGGTCAAATGCTTCTGGCAGTTGGTCGAGCTGCTTTTTGCTTTGCCGCACTTTGACGTTATCTTTGAGCTTCTTGCAGGCAGTGCCTTGACATGACGCAAGAGTATCTGTCACGCACGATGATGTCCCCCAGCTTCCGAGGATCTGAATACGCATCCCTCGATGAGCCGCCAAAGCCAATCAAATGTTGCGCGATGCCAGGCCCACGCAAACCTAAGGACCTAAGGCCCGTACAAGTAGTACCTTAGTACAAGCCTGTCGCAATGGATACAACTAGTTTCGATGCTTCGGACGATGAGATTCCGCAGCGCGTGAGTTTGGCTTATGTGGTCCGCTCACTCAAATCCTGAGGGATGCGCAATAATTGAATTGCTGCGGATGCGGGGTGGCCGAGATAGCGCCTAGCCGCTTGGATCTGAAAGCCGCCCCGGCCCGGATTTCATATGGCCACATTGCCGCATTAATTCGAGCACCTTTGAGTCTTCGCAACACGGGGAGCTCCATGCAGCCAGCACTGCACTTGCAGTCAGACGGCTCCGATGTCGCAGGTGTAACCGTGCAACCCGACCACTTGTCATGACATGGTCCAGCCTTTAGTGCTGCCGACATGGGCAATGTGCAGGTCATTGCGTTCTGACTAGCGCGTAGCAGCACCTCAAGAAGCATACCTCGGAATCGGCTGCGGAGCTCTTTCATGAAGCGGAGTCTCCGACCAGTCTGTGGACTGACGCTTGGAGCTGGCAGCATGTGAACGTGTCCTGAGCAATGACGTGCAAAGGGGTCCATGCCAGAGTCCTGCGAGAACGAAGGAGTCCTTCTGGTGCTGCCAGTAGCCAAGACATGCGTACTGTGCCGACTCGGTCTACTTAGCTGCCGAACGAATCCTTAGCTTCTTCTAGCGCAGAGCGTCCATTTTGCGCGGCACCAGTGCGGTTTACACTCGACCCTTCCCATTTGATTGTCTTACCTTGCCAAGCCCAAGTTATGCCGGTTTTGCTGTCTGGACTGCGAAGGGTCGGGCGGGGCATATCATGGAGGGAATGCGGGAGTAGTAGCCCTCATGCATTTTTTTGGACATTCAAGGGCTTGCCGCAGCATGCAGTTTGACCTACCTACCTAACAACCCTAGTATGTCTTGAGATATTTCGAGGGCAGGACCTGGAGCATGCAAGTGGTGGGGAAGCCACGCACACACACCAAGTCGAATGCTCCAGTCTCGCGGGAGTTTGTGCTGTTGTAAGTAAGGATACTTTAATGGTCTCCCAAAGCTCTTTGCTTTGCGATCCTGGAAGGACTCGGAAGCTTTAAGAAGTCAGATTGCTGAAGCCCAACACGGCGCCAGGCGTTCGAGCTTTTTCATGTTGCGATCGCGCTAGGAGTGAGCAGGGCTTGGCTATTGTATGTTTGTAGTGGGGGCAATCATTCGTCCTCATGGGAAGCTGCCTGCGACGTGTGGGCCGTTGTTTCGACCCTAGAGCTGCGCCTTCAACTGAAGCGCATCTGTAGTCTATGCCGGAGGTAGAAATTGGGTCGCTGTGATGTGGCCCGATGCCCACCTGCTGACGCAAAAAACGCTGCACCACCTTGGCCAGCCCGCTATCCCGAACTCTGCTGACGGCTTCTGCGTGCCTATGTTTATGCATGTCGTTCGCCAACATAGGCCGCTGGCTTCAGAATCTTCAGATGTTGACAGGTCGCGACAATTCTCCACACCCTTCAAGCATTTAGTCACGTTTTCTTTATGCACGAAATGCCATGCATGAACCAACTGTAGGGTGTTACATCGGGAATTGCCAGGAAGGCAATCCGGCGTGAAAGCTTTTCGATTTTCTGCCGTGGTGGCGAGCCTAGATGCATGGCTGGATTTGTCTCAAGGGTGGGGGAGTAACATCTCGGCACTCCTCGCAAAGATTGCTCGGAGTCCACTTGTCACTGGAACCGAGGAGCCATGGCCTTCATGCCCGCGGCACCTTGGGAGAGATCTCTCCGTCCTCTTACCGTGACAGCCCCATTTCTGCGGCCAGCGCGGCCACGACGGCTTGAGACGCGAGGCACCGAACGCAGTTGTAAGCTGAACTTCGCGTTCTAGCAGCTCTAGTCTAGACAGCTCTCGCATCCTGCAGCCCTGCTGGAGGCAGCATGAACTCGAGCTTCGTCCGTATTGCTGCTGCTGTTTGCGGCACCCCAGCCGCACCCGTAGGCCACAGTAAGACAATGGGGCCCTCGGCCCGCATATTCGACCGAAGCTCAGGCTTCGTCTCTGCAAGATCCTTCGCAACGATTGAGAAGGAACCAGGCCGAAAAGGGATCGGGACTCCGAGCTTCTTTTCCTGTTCGCTTGCTTCTTGCGTGGCCCTGGCTAGATACCTTGGGCTCCGAGCGGTTGCGCCGAACTGCCCAGAGGGCCGATGGCCGCGTGCTGGAAATCTCTGTGCCTTGCTCCAACTTGGTGCGACTGGTAAAAGCTTGGCTGATCAGCCATCAGCTTTTTGCACGTATCGACTTGCGGGCTGCATTGTTCAGCCTAGGGCCTTGGGTGTCTGCAAAAATCTTATGTAGGTCTTACTGTAGAGCCTGCAGCCTGTAGGATCAGCTTCCAGCAGCAAGCTGGAAGAGACGGAAGGTGTCTTCTCTCGACAGCTTTCAGCCTTGCTTTCAAGCTTTCCGAAGATGCAGGCATACCTGCAAACAATGCTAGCGCGGCTTTGCAGCAACCCTTTACACGAAGAGCGCAGCGATCTTGGGTTTCCGGGTTTGATAGTCATGGTCTAGGGGCTCAGGGCCAAGTTTAGAGCTTACCCGTGAATCAGAGAATTAGAGTCTGGTTTCGAGAAGGATTTCCGGGGGCCTGCGCGAGATGCAATACAGGCATCGGCATAGTCGGCATGGTTGAGCAAATTTGGCAATCATCCGAGATCTTCCCATGCCGGTATATTGGAATTCCGACATGTTCGTGCGGAGCAAAGCACGCTGCGGTTCGGAGATCGAGCAAAACTGGAGATGCGCGTCGCGGTACCTTAAGCAAGCTGTAGAAATCAGCAACGCGACATGCAACCAGAGAGTTCCCGGGACCCGAAGCCAGAAGCGTTCGGGCATCGTGTACAAGAGAAATCTGTTATTTCTTGCTGGCCATGTAGAACTCGAACTCGAGCTAGCTGAGGCAGAAAAGAACAAGTCAGTGCCTCTCGACCGCCGTGGCAAAGTGAGCCCTTAGAATTACAGCAGATCTTAGCAACGAGGCGCACAGAGTTGCTGAGGCCTGTGGAAAATGCGACCGTAGCTGGCATGAATGATCTGACTCTGGGCTGCAAGTGGCTATACCACTGGTTCCGTACCTCAGATATCCTCAACTTCAATGCAGCATCCATGGGCTCTGAGCAGCCTGGAAAGCTGCAGATTTGCAAATCGATTCGCATTTACAGGTCTGAAGTGCGAGGCTACTCTGCCAGCTGAATAAGCAGATGACTTTCTTTACAGCAAGCAGGATGAAGCGGGAGGCCGTGAACATCCTAGCTGCTGGCGCCGAGAAGACTGAGGAAGTCAAAGGCGAGAAAGGCGGCCCCGCCCTGACCAAAACTGAGTTTGATTTGAGCAGGCTTCAATTTCCGACTTGCTTGCCTTTATAGGATACTGCTCTTGACAGCCTCTGAGGAGAGTGAATCCTGTTCCCCTATTCGTCAAAGCGTGCAAGCTTCTGGGTTGGTCATCGTGACTCTGTCTGATCCCACGCCTACCCCGAAGTCTCATCATCCAGAATAAATGAAAAATCTACGCGCCCTCAAAGAGTGCCACCTAGTTGCAGATTCTATGCCCTGCAGGAATGTGGCATGCCTACATGAAGCCCACCACCATGGGCACGTGGAAGAACCAAGCCAGCTCCTTGGGCGGCACATCGCCGTGAGCACGTGGGCTGGCAACGGTCTCCAAGCACACCTCATACCAAGTATGCACGAAGGCGTGCACCCGATTCTCCAATTTACAGCTGTGGCTCTGAAGTTCCGTTCATGGGGCTGTGAGCCAACGAGAGGAGATAAGGCAAGGATTGAACAAAGAGGGCGGTGGCCAATTAGCCGCTGCCGACGATATGTTGCAAAAGGCATGACTGTCTGAGACTTCATGCAGCCGAGGCAGCGTCACTTGTTCCCCTGTCCTTTCTCAGGACTGACCTGCAAGTTGATGCTGAAGCCCGGGGTGCAGGGCCCAGAAACTTAGCCTGTACGGTGCAGGCGCTGAGCGCTAGATCCGCCAGATGTCAGAAGACTCGGCCGCCTCGCCAGCCATCGTCTGCCCGGAAGAAAGTTCAGTCAAGTCCTACTGAGCCAGATTCAAGCTTGTTGCATGCTACATATGCTACTGTACTGGCTGTATGAAAGTAAGCTGACAGATGTTCCGAGGTGTCCGGTGCCTTTGCTAGAAGATCAAGATTTCGATGCTTGTGCGTCCAGGCCGTCAACGTCGAGGTGGTGAGCCTTGAAGTGGGTAACTGGGACAAAGACCTGCGACAGTTCAAGTTCGAAAAGTTCGATGACCCTTGTCTTCCCAAGCTGAAGATGTCCTGCCAAACTGTGCCAAGCTTTCATGCAAGAAAACGTCACTCTGGAAGCCCCATCTTTTGGCAATCTCAAACAACATTGACTTTTGGGTGCTTTTTGGAGTTGGTTATTCAGAAATAGCGCAAGTAGGGTGAACGTGCGCCACATGATGCGCATCTTAGGAAGACACCTTCAGCTTGAATTGGCAGAACAGCATGACCTGGAGAGAAAGAGGTTCAGATCTCGCAGTGCAGTACCGTGACTGCAGTTGCATTCATGCTGGAGGAACGCTTTTCGAGCCTTACGACAGTTCTAAGCAGGCATCTTTCGCGTGGCTCCATGCGATTGGTCATTCCATGGTGGTTTCCCCTTCCGGACACAGTGGTCAAAGCCACATTCCAGGCCGGGATCCGATACATGCTGCTCAACTGCAAGGGATGGAAGTGCGAGTGTTTACAGGAGAGGTCGATCGCCATGTGAATTGAGCAATTTCTAGCAGATTCTAGCAGGACCTCGCCAATCGCACGCTGGTGTATTGAGGTGTAAACGTGAGGCAAAGTGTGCGACACGCACAGACCTTTGTAGTGTTGTGCCACAAGCACCCAACATGATTCATGATTCATCCAAGGATTTCGGACGGCCAGTCCAAGATAGCAGCTGCTGTGAGCCGAAGGTATGCCGACTTAGAGCGGTGAGCCTGGTGAGGGCGAAGACCCCAAGCTTAAAGCCAAGCAGCCGGTTCTCCCTCTCCCAGTGTTCGCATGTCCTCCTTGACGGGGGGGCAAACTTGTCATTGTGGGAGGCATGCGCAGAATCCCAAACATAGGCTGAAGCAAATTATGTTGGCCGCCAAATAGTGAGAATGGTCGCACGAGGGGCCCATGAGTCGTTTGCAAGCGGAAATGCGCAGACATCCCTGGTGTAAATTCCGATTCTGGTCGCTTGTTGCGAAAACCACACGAGCAGTCCAGAGCCGCTGTGTCGAGCGGTGCATGGCAACTGAAAGGTGTCACAAGCCGGACTCAGCTTAAGCCCAGCCTCACAGAATTGCCGATATCGGCAGAATCAGAAAAAGCCGAGGGCACCAATCTGCTTTCGCATCTCCTTCAAGCAGAAGCAGGCGGCCATGACAAGCACTGCACACGAGCACAGGTACAGGGACTGGCTGTGCTGGCCAAGTCCGATGTTCTCGTTCAGGACTGCTTCTCTGTGTTGCTGACACACTACGACACGACACTACGGCAGAAAACATCAGTGCAAGGGATGCTTCAGTGATCTTCATTGCTAAGTCCGTGGTGACAGCCGAGGCTCAAGGAGAGTAGTTAAGACATCACGACTCTTTCCAGTCGCACATCTTTACCTTAGGAGATGATGTACAGCCTTCAATGCCAATGCTTGCAAGGCACATTGCACGTGTTGCCAGTCAAGCATAGATACAGGGGCGAGCGCCACATCGGTCTATTTCGAGCTTTGATCGTCATGGCCCCAAAGAAGGGCAAGGCAGCGACGAAGACGAAGGAAGGCAAAGCAGCTGGGCTCAAGCAGCCACGAAGCCTCACTAACTCACTAATTATGTAGATGTGTCATGGCCAGGACTGACACGTAAGCCACGTAAGCATCCGAAGGATCTGCTTTGGGTGCAGAAGCAGCTGGAGAAAATCTCGGCTCAGCTCTCTGCCGGCCCTCCGTGGCTTTCAGAGCCACACTCTTGGCACCAGGAAGTCTGGCTTTGCTTTTGAGATTTTTTCGACCGAATCGCTTCCAGGAGCAGCTGCGAGAGCTTCAAGCTCGTCTGGAGGAAGGTGGGCTTCAGAGCCTTTCCAGCGAGCTGCGGGAAGGCGTCGAGTTCTACCTTTCTCAGCCTCTCGGACCACTTTTGCTGCAATATGCTGTTACTGTAGTGTTTTGGCCTTCCCCCGTCGCAAGATCGCGACGCGTTCGTCGAGGTTCGAGGACGGACAGTCGGTCTCAGAGGAGGAGTTCTACCTAGCAACTTCGTTGCGATTCATGCTGACAACCCCAATGTCGTGGAATCTCGTAGCTTGGAAGAGAAAGCAAGGACCAGGAGCTCTATTGTGAGCTGCAGCCGAAAGCCCCAGAGCCCGATCAGCCCTACAGCAGGGCATCGGCATCAGAGGCAGGGGCAGATGAGGATGAGCTGGGCGAAGAGCAGGCGTCTTGGGCCCTGGCAGGCAGAGCTGAAGCTTTGCGAAGAGCTGAAAAGTTGGATGGACACCACTCCCCATGGTCTGAGCAAGGCCAGCGCTAGTGGTTGCAGAGTGCCACTGTTGCAGAAGACACCTCTTGCCACTCTGACAGCTCCAGAAGCTACTGGAGAAGCACAGCCACTGTGCAGAAGTCCAGGCAAGCGGCGCTTGTAGAGGTCGTGCTCCGATGTGTTCACAGCGAGGCTTGTTTGTAGTCTACAGATAATAAAGACCATGCTGAAGCTTGTTAGCCAGGAAGTCGGTCTGACTCGCTTGGGTGGACTGCTGGCTGAGGCAGCGGTATCTTCACTGGACTAGAGTGACTAGAGACTTTGAGACACGGTGTGCGCTCCTTGCCAGGGGTAGCTTAGAGGCTTAGAGGCTCAGAGGCGGGCCGGCCCGGCCTGAGGACCCGGCTCGCAGAGCCCGCAGGCCTGGAGAGCCCGTAGGAGCGCGAATGGTTATCGACTATCATCTATCGCTATCATCTATAGTTATCTATCTACCTGTCTATCTGTCTATATATACATATCTATATGGATGGATTGTGCAGTGTCGCCAACCCTCCCCCTCCTTCCGACCTCCAAGTCGCCGCTGTGGTTGGGTGGGTGGTTTGGGGTTGATAAATGCCCTTGCCTGCGTGCGGGCGTGGGCGGTTCTCCCCGTCCGATGCTGTAATACCCTCTCGCCCCGGTGTGGGTGGGTGGGTTGGTGGGTGGGGTGGGTGGGTGGGT